CAACGAATGCGGCGTTGTGAGCTCTCGGCCGCTGCCCGGTGCAGCGCGGCCCGCCGGCCTGGCACGGCCGGGTTTCCCGGGCTGAGGGAGATCTGGGCGGGGAACGCCTCGTGTCTCACTTGCTGCTTGGTTTTCCCAGCTAAGGGAGAGAGAAATCCGGCTTTAATTGTCCGGAACGGGGTGAGGGTGTGTGCCATGATCGCCTGCCTCCTCAGAAGCGCGCGCGGGCTTGTACTGTGGCTGGTTTGTTAATTCACGTTGGCGATGTGGCAGATATTGCAAGAACATGCGAGTGTGTAGTGTTTCGTAGGGTTGAGATGCACGTTGTCAGTTAAAAAAAAAAAAGGAAGGCGATTTATATGACCTCTGTGGGTGTTGTGCTTTTCATAGTACACCTCTACCAGCTGGACATCACGGTGAAGCAGGGGCGTAACAAAGTGCGGGAGATGTTCATGAAGAACGCCCACGTTACGGATCCACGGGCGATAGACATGCTGGTTATTAAGGTACAAACAAGCTATTCCTATTTTTTTGAAGCTGCAGAGAATGTGAGAGTGGATAACTGGTGCCAAGAGTGATGGAGCAGAGGGACAGTTTTATTTCAGTTTGCGCTATGGTGGAGTTGTCTCTTGCAAACCAGAGTGGTTTATCTCTGACAACACTGTTGATACGGACTCAGGCTGCTTTAGCCTGTGGAGGAATAGGGTCTTAACTCCCTTAGGTCAGAGTTGCTAGGCTATGAATTTCTGTCATCCAATGCACTGGCTCTTCCAGTTTGTAGGTGTCTGAAAGAGGAAGTCTGTGGCAAGCCAAACCATAATTTAAATATGAAGTTTGTTATTGGTTTTGGTTTTGTTTGTTTGGTTTGGTTTCTAAAAATGATGGCAGTCAAAGAAAAGGGGAAAAATATGCTGCTAGCTAGTTTACCATTAAAAATGACCTTTCTGCTCCCTACAGTACTTTCTTAGTTTGGCATGTGGTTTTCTTCACCAATTCTGAAACGTACATTAGAGCAGCGGTACTTGGTGGGAGGTTGGCTTTGGGTGACAGAACACCCCAACCTTGTAACTTGTCAGGCCGTGTCTTGGGCCTTAGAGACGTGTCTCATTCAAAGCTGTAATCATTATACCAAGAGTAGGGCAAGGCTTCAAAATGTATCCGAGCAACGGCTGCCCTCTGCGGTTCTACTGCGTTAGAAAGTTTCCAGCCAAGGACTGCTGTGCTCACTGGTTGTACTTCTTGCATTTCAAGAGAGTTAGTCTGTCTTTATGTGATGCAAAAAATCTGGAAATTGAATCCTAGGTAATACAGTAGGTGACAATTCCACGTGATGTGACTTTGTCCCATGCAGCCATCCTCCGAAACCAGTACAATAATTTACAAGCCGGACTCATGAAGAAACTGTGTTTAATATCTCTGTGGTAGCGCTACTGGTGCAGAGCACTTAGCAACAATTTTACTGGGCTTTACAGCTAACTTGCCACTCTTAAAAAAACACAATAAAATAAAGAGGTGCATGAAAGTTAGGGATGTTATGAAGACTTTTATGGGGATGCTGGTCATGAAATAAACAAGGCAGGTTCTGAGAAGGCAGCAGGATCCTTTGCCTGTTTCCACAGGGCTGGGAAGCTGTGCCATGGGCAAGTGACTTGTTAAGATAGGACATGAAGCAATAAAGTCACAAAGCAGGAGAACAGTGTGTGTATATTGTTGTCACAGTATAGGTGTTGCAAGCAATATATATATATATAGTTGTGAAATAACTTTCACTGCGCTGTATAGTTAGACGTGTGCTCTAACGGAGAACTAGTCTAAAATTCTTTTGTATATTTGCAGGGAAAAATGGAACTTCAAGAAACCATTCACGTATGGAAGCAGAGGACTCACGTCATGAGGTATTTCCATGAGACGGAAACCCCACGACCTAAAGACTTTCTGTCCAAATTCTATGCAGGCCATGATCCCTGAGAGATTGACTCTTGTGTCTTCTTGCTTGGTATCACTAATAAAGTTCTAGATAGTAGAAAAATCTGTACAGAAAGATTGTGGAGTATATTAGGAGCCTAATGACTAACTGAATCCAGAATGTGTGTAAGTCATTACTATCAATACGCAGAGCTGTCCTTTCCTAGTTTTATTGGTATTTTCAGCGGGTGGAGTTTGTCCCATCGCTTGCCCTGGAGTGTCTGTTGAATAATCACTACACGACCTGGCTGTGGGGCTTTCTGCTTAGCCTGCAGTCCCATTGCGCAGGGGTTAGCTCTGTGGAAGAAAGAGCAGGCCTTCAGAAAAGCCAGTGTAGACGCAGAATTATTCTTGTGCTTGAGGCCCATCTGTATTCATGCAGTGTTCTACAATTTCATGCTATGACTTTGTTGATTTGGTGTTTTTTTGGTTGGACACTAGTCTCTTTTTACTTCCTCACAGGGAATGGCATAAAATACAATAGGCAAATAAAGCCCTTTCTGCAATAAAAGATCAGCGGAGTCCATCTCCCTGCTGTAAAATCAAATTACCTGGAAAAATTACCTGTACTGTTGTCTAGAATAGGGAGGCTCTTTGAGAGCTTTTGTTGCCTAGCAAATGGTGATGTCCTACCATCACCACCTTAATTAAATCAGGAATTACTAGCTCTCTTTTGAGAAGGGCAAGCAGAATTTGTTTTGCTGCTCAGAACAGGTTTTCAGCAGGTAACTCAGTGCTGGAGCTCCCCCATGTGTGATGAGCATCAAATCTCTGTAGCATGCTCAAACTTTTTTTCATACTTGTCTGAACACTGGGACTTTCTTCCGAGTATGCAGACTGTAAAGCATTGTTCCTCAGGGATGTGCCCCTTGGGGCTTTGGGCTGGGGTGTTTTTAAGGACAAAGTTGTCAAGGTCAGGAAGGACCAGGAGAGGTGGTGGGATAAAGAAGTGGTATAGAAAATGGGAAGAGGATCATGTTTGCTTCTCAAAAGCAGATGAACTGGAGCAACCACTTCTCAGGTGGCTGTGGGGAAGGAGGGGGCAACACAGATACCAAATGATTTGAGAGCCTGCCAGCTGCATTCAGCCACAGCTCTGGGGGTTACTCAGATTGCAGGCTCCTTTTTCTCTCAGGGCTACACTGGAGTTGAATAGTGAGAGATCAAATGTAACCATACACCCTGCTAATATGTGCAACATTAAAGTAAACCTTTTAACAGCTACATGAGTATTGCTGGGAAAAGCGGGAAGTCCAGAACAGGCCTGATCAGTGAGTTTGGCACTCGTGATCTTAACCTTTTACCAAAGCTAATCACAACTTTTAACACTGCAAGGATACTACTGTATTTAATCCTTGGTGAGGTGAAATTAATGCTATGATCTCCATCAGATGTACCTGATAGGTTGTAAATCAGCATTATTTGAGTTGCAGGGCCAGTGCCAATATGCACCCTGTCCTTTTAATGGGGCTGTGTTGTGGGGCTGCTGCTTCCTCTAGGATTCCTGTCATGTACTGAAAAGCAGTACTAAATTACAGAAAGGACTTGTAAGAGGAAATAAATAGGAAGAAAGCCTCCTTACTGGAACTGATGTATGGAGGTAGAAAGGTTAAGGCAGAAGTGCTAGGATGTAGGCACACAATCTATAGAAACACAAGACCAGAGTCATACATCGCAATTGCTTCATTTTTAATTAAGCATCTCTCATATTGCTAATAAAAGTAATCCCAAGCAGTCTTTGAGGTGAGCGTGTGTGTGTGTGCAAGGACGCAGAGCCTATCAAGCACTTCCTTCAACCCTGATCTACAGATTTCCATCATACAGACATGCGCAGGACACTCACTGGCAAAGGGGATACAGAACCCCCGTCCCATTTTGGAAGGACAAAACACAGGTGACGGATGTTGGAACCATTGCTTTGTCAATGGTTTTCTCCTTTCTGTTCTTCCATTACAGTTCTGCAAATAGAATAATAAGCTTGTTACTCATCAGAAAACTGTACTGAGGTCCAGGCCATACCCTGACCCCGAACCACACAAAGTGGGGATTTACATAAAAGGAGTTTCTAACAGGCCATTGGAGTCTTTACAGTCTTTTAGTACTTTGTTTTCAGTCGCACAGCGCATTCTGGAAAATTACTTTATCGAATGGAACACATCCACCAAATTGATTATAAAGCTACACTAAATGCACCAACTTAGTTAAAACAGCTTCTTTGTTCTACAAAGAATCAAATACACCCAAACTCAAATCTCTGCGCAAGGATGAGCCAAACAATAACATGAAATGATGGAAAGTGCAGTGCAGTACACTTCAGATAAAGGTGAATTATTTCCAGTCTACCCAATGACTCTTAATTGTCCAACTGCTCCAGAGATTGGTGCTGAACAACACCCACTAGACAGTTTGTTCTGATGGGTTCTGGAATTCTCTCAAACTGATCACTGCTATATGAATTTAATAAAATAAGTTATTCTCTTCTAAAACAGTCATTCTGTGAGTTAGCAGAAGACTTTTAAACAGGTAAGCGTGAAGAGAATAGGAATTGTTTTGGTTGTAAAAAGATCTTTAAGATCCTTGGGTCCAACTCTTCACCAAGCTCTGCCAAGTCCACCACTAAACTATGTCCCTAAGTACCACATCTACACATCTTCTAAATACCTGCAGGGATGGTGACTCAATCATTCCCCTGGGCAGCCTCTTCCAGTGCTTGACAACCCTTTCTGTGAAGAAATTTTTCCTAATATCCAAATTAAACCTCCCCTGGTGCAACGTGAGGCCGTTTCGTCTCATCCTATCACTTTTTAGTTGGGAGAAGAGACCAAGCCCCACCTTGCTACATCCTCCTTTCAGGTAGTTGTAGAGAGCAGTGAGGTCTCCCAGGAGCATCCCTTTCTCCAGGCCAAGCAACCCCAGCTCCCTCATAAGCTGTTCTGCACAAGACTTGTTCTCAAGACCCCTCACCAGCTTCGTTGCCCTTCTTCAGACATCTGGTAAGACGTAAGTCCCTCTTTTCTGTCTGCAGTATAGACCCTCACTGATTACAGTTTACTTGTGATTCAAATGACCAGATCTAGAACTATCAGTTTATTCCAATCTCTAATGAACTTAGGTTGTGGAGATTTCACATTCGGATACCAGTCTGGCCTGCTCTGCTGTAAAAGGACAGAAAAGTTTGTAGCCAGAGGCAATACCATGTCCATGTGTTTAACTGCAAAAGCCTTTCAAGCTGTTGCCGCCTGTGTTTCTCAGTCTGAGATTGCCCTCCTTGCCCTGAATCAAGTGGGAAGCACAAATCATCAGGTTGCTGGCAATGTTTGTGACATACCCTTTAATCATCGTCATCGTCATCCTCTGGGACAAAGATATCGTGTTCTTCCAGTAGGGCTGCAAAGTTCTTGCTGATCTGAGTCCCGACATACAGGAAAGGGATCACAACGCTGAACACCCTGAGGAGGCCGAAGGACGTCTGCAAGGAGACGATTAGAGAAGACCGGTCCTTACCACCACGCTGCACTTGGGCTGAACCCACCTCCTCCCGGCTGCGGAGACGGCAGCGGCACGAAGGCTTTGCCGTCCTGGGTCATGAACTCCCGCTG